ATGCACCGACACTTCTCCTCAAAGAGGCGTGCAGTGTTTGACACCGTATCCGACACGACACGCATTCAACACTCCTCAGACACGTGTCGGACACACCGAAAATGTGTCCAATTAAAAAAATATTAAATACAAATTGGACACACATGTCCGACACACATATCTTATATATTTTATAATTTTTTTAAAAATATTTCTTGTATTTAAAATTTTTACTTATTTAAAATATAAAAAAACTAAATTTCTTATTTTCTATCCACAATACCAAATAAATTTCCCGCACTTAATACCCATTCATCGAATATTCTCATTTTCATTTCTCTTTGGCGTATTACAACTTTGATTTCACAATAATGTCTGATCTCATCTCAACATCGACGATTGTCGTCGTTACAACATCAATGCCCAACTCTCGACAGCATTGTCATCTCCTCTCTCGATGACAGATAAATGACACCGACGCCTAACTCTCGACATTCTAATATTAATAATTTTAAACATAAATTCTAATTAAATGACTTATTATTTCTAAATTATTTTTAAATTATACTTATTCAATTTTTATACACTATTTTTAAAATATAAAAATTATAATGCCGTGTCCAACCCGTGTCCGTGTCATATATTTTCAATATTTGACGTGTCCCGTGTCCGTGTCTGTGCATCATTGATTGCAAGCTGATTTGGAAGTAAACATCTTTTTGTCATAAAAATAACAATCTTATTTATTTATGTTATCTTATATGGCTATGGATGTGTTTTATTTTTTAAGTTCATGCGATCAGTATCAAATTTAGCTACAACATTCATACAACTCTATCTAAATAAGTTGGAACATTTTTTCATTACTTGAATAGGTTTAATAAAAGAATTTTTTTTTAAACATAATACTTAACTTTAGGTGTAGTTATGATGCATCTCATAATATTCAGAAAATTTTCAACCAAAATGACCATAGAATCACTAGTCTCTTTATCAAATTCATGTACATAATCATTCTTATTTATTTCAATATAATTTTTCTTTGTGTTATTATTTAATTTTCTATTAGGGTATTTATTAGCATAATGATTAGTTTGATGGAAAATTTGATTTAACAAATTGAAGACCTAGATGCAATAGCAACCAATTTTCTTTTGTCATTATTAACAATAGTTTGACCTTTATTTCAGTAGGCTTAACGAATTAATTTTTGGCTATTTTGGTGTAAAGATTCATAATCTATAGTTAACTCATTTTTAGACACTTGACATTTTATCATTTGCTAAAAGTCTAATGCAATTTTAAAAACATGATGGGATATTATGTGGTTTCTCCTCTCTTGATACAGGTTTAATCAAAATAAATTTAGAGAACGTGGTTTTAAGATCCTTAATGGTTTTAGATGACAACAATGATTTTTCAAATTTATTCATGTACTCAGTTTTAATTTGTCTCTTATTTTAAGTAATTAAACCTATCAGACAACCAATCATTATATGTTGAAGGCAAGTATTTCTTCTTTTTTGGAATTTTCATTCCAATCCAAGTAGTTGTAGTTTTGGTATAAAGCTTAACAATCTATATTTAACTTATTTTTAGGCACATGACATTTATCATTTGCTAAAAGTCTCATGCAATTTTAAAAACATGATGGGATATTATGTGGTCTTCTCCTCTCTTGATATCAGGTTTAATCAGAATAAATTTAGAGAACGTGGTTTTAAGATCCTTAATGGTTTTAGATGACAACAATGATTTTTCAAATTTATTCATGTACTCAGTTTTAATTTTTCTCTTATTTTAAGGAATTAAACCTATCAGACAACCACTCATTATATGTTGAAGGCAAGCATTTCTTCTTTTTTGGAATTTTCATTCCAATCCAAGTAGTTGTAGTTTTCCTTCCCTTTATTTTTCTATATTTCTTCATACTCATCTTACATATTTAGATTGCCCAATTAGTTTTAATTTCACAAATATCAGTTCTTGCTCAGTCGATGTTCTTGATTCGAAGAAATTATTCATGTTCATTATCCGATTAGCAAAAATTTCAGGATTTATTTTTCCATCATAAGTAGATGATTTAATTTCAACCTTTTTATTTATGAAATGATGTTTGTAAAAAAAAATTTATTTCTTTGATTTCCATAAATTTCATTATCATACATTTGTAATATCATTATTCCATTCACATGGATTTCCTTATCTCCTAACCTTGTTAACATTCAACTATTCAAGTGAATGATTAAATTCTTGTTCAAGTTCATGTTCATGAAATTGATTGTTTTCTAAATTTTTTTATCAAGTAACCCGGATGTGGAGTCCAATTTTTAGTTTACAATTTGATAAAACCTTAATCTATGCTACTAGTTTGATACATCATGTCATAAAATATGGGATGTTCGTATTTTAAGTAAACGATACAATTTTAGAAATCACACTTGGATTTGGTATTTAGAGTCAAATCACCAATTAAAACAAGAATTTATCTTCTTTTTATATAAAACAAAACATATGTGAAATTTGTTACAAAGAATATTTGAATTATTTTTCAATTCAAAGAAATTTAGCAGAAAATTAAAACCATTAAAAAAAACTGATACGATTGGACTAGTCCCAGCATGCTCGCAGGCTACTGATTCCTCCCCTCTTGGGGTGGGGTCCATTATCTAGGGTTAATTGATTAAGGGTTGTTTAGTCATTTGGTGTTAATTTTATGTTTGCTTTAAGTAGGAGTTTGTATTAGGGTTGAGGCATCTTTTTGGTGGCTAATTTTTTGAGTGCTTTGGTGTTCTTTAGCTTTAGCGGCATGTAGAGAATTTTGGAAGGATTGATCCTCCTCGAATAGAGATTGAACCCCTCCTGGACCGGTCCAATCATTTCAAAAACACAACTCGATCAAGATTCACATTGCAAGAAGAAAATTAATTGTGAATATTTCGATTAAAATCAATTACATTTGCAGAATAAAATCTACTTATGTGAAAAAAGGAGGTAACAAAATAAGAGATCACCAAGCACATAAATTCACCTGATTGAGTAGATTTTTTCAACCCAAAATTGGTATCGCATTTTTAATGCACTTTACTGATTAAAATCCAGTGCCAAGCACTAAGTTTGAAAACAAAAGTTGAAAATTGTGTTTGGTAAAAATAATTTCTACATGATCTAGAAATTCACATTTTTAATCAACATATGAGATTATGGCTATGTGAATAGACAAAGCTTTAGAAACCCACTCAATTAGAAGAAGAATTACACATAAAATGGAAGATCCGTAAATAAAGCTTAACTAGAGAGAAAATCCTGTGGTCACCCTTTGGTGAATACTCTAGTCAAGCGATTGATCCTTCAGTGGAAGACATGCATGCGAACAGAAAACAGGGTTAAATTATTAGAAATGAACCAAATACCAATCCACACATAGCTCCAACTTTGAACCATGCCATAACCTTGACATTGGATCATCTAAACCAAACTAAGGACACAACCCATCCTTATAGGAATTATCATCATAGACATGAAAGTAAAATGTAATTTAAATTCAAAAGTAACGTACTTGAAACAACTAAAACGGGCTAATTAAAATTTTGTGAAGATCAACAACTTGCTCTAGTAAGGTACGCAAATTGCATATTTGAAGAATATGAACTTTAAGATTTTTATCTGTAGAGGAAGACCATCATATCTTTTTCTATACTTTTGTTGATGAACAACCATATTGTTTTATCCATAAATTTACCTCATAAATCTTCAATGTTATTAATGTATTACAATAATCAACATTACTAAAATGTCACTCACATTCAACATAAGTTAACCAACCTTAGATCTGAGTATGGCCATGGTGGTGGAGGCTCATCTGAGTTGACTGATGAAATTCTATAAAAATTTGGAGTAATTTAGAGTTGTTTATAAATTTGACCTGACCTGCCTCATCCTAGGCCCAACCCATATGTGTTAATGGGTTTTCCATGATCTTTAGGGATTCTACTTGACAAAATCCAAATAAACTTGTGAAAAATATTATTTTGTAATTAAGATGAATTTAAAGATTGTTCTCAAGTAATTAAAAATATATCTTTTAGTTTAATGCAAACTAGCATTGGTGTACTTTATAAGAACTAATAAATTATATGGTATAATTTTAATGGGAAAAAGGATCAAAATGATCTATTGATTCTTTATGAAAGATCAAAATAATTCTCAATTATATTAAAGGACTATTTTGGTCCCTCAATTCTTTAAAAATGAATCAAAATAGTCTAATGGTGGGATTATTTTTGTTGCTCTTTAAGGTGTTGAGGACTATTTGGATTAGTCATAAAGAGTTAATAGACCATTTTAATCATTTTCTAAATTCTAATGTTAATTATGTGGGTGTATATTATTAAATTGATATGTTTGAAGTGGCACTCCAATAAAATTTTCTTTGTTAATTTGTTCATTTGTGTAAGTCAACCCCAAATAGTTTGGATAAAGCATAAAATATGTTTCTATACGTGTTTGCATGTGTTTTCTTGGCGCCTGTTTAAAGTTGTTATATCCTTTTTTATATTTGAACATTCCTAGAATTGTTTATCTATATCTTGTATGACTTGTGTCCTATATGTGATCTTATTATGCTTGCAGAAAAAGTTATGGTCCCAATAAAAATTGAAATTTGGGTTTTATTTCTGAATCGTTTGTCTTGTGTTGCATATATTGTCAGCTTGCTTTTAAATTTCAAACAAGTTGAAAATCCTCGGTGCTACTCGAAGTCTCATGTTTGTCATTTTATGTACCTCTAATCTATTATGGCCCTGCATAGGTATAACATGAAACTGTCACTTTGATTTTGTTGTAACACTTACATAAGTTTAGATAACTTTGCTTAGGTTGCTCTGACATAACATTGAGGCTTCCAATGGATATTGATTATCTTATCCTGAAGCTTAGGCTCTCAATGTTCTATTTAGTTGTAAATCTGTCCTTTTGAGGTCATTGACGAAGCAACATGCTGTTTTTGTCTCGATGCCCAGGTATTTCAAGGGGCCAGAACTGCTTGTGGATTTGCAAGACTATGATTATTCATTGGATATGTGGAGCCTTGGATGTATGTTTGCTGGGATGGTAAGTTGTTTACATGGCAATAATAATGGTGCCATTCTATTTCTGTCTTAACAACCGCGGTTTTTTTTCTTTCCATACAGATATTTCGCAAGGAACCATTCTTTTATGGGCATGATAACTATGATCAGCTGGTAAAAATTGCAAAGGTATGCTGTGATGTTTAAACTCGTTGTTTTCAATAATTATTATTTTTGTCAGAAGCTTTTGTCAATGTGTCATCTTTTGGTACCGAAGTCTTTTTAATTGCAATATCTTTTAGTGTAAGCACTTCCCACGACTTAGCTATCTAAACCATAACTCAGCAGTCTGAGAAGTTTGGATGTCACCCAATGTCATTGCTAAGTAAAATAGAGTTCAAGAAGTCTAGCTCTTTGAAGTCTTGCCATTAAGTTGGTAACCTGAGATCTAAACTTTATTTCTTGGATTTTTATACTCTAGTTTCATAAATCATACTTATGCTAGGATGATCTTATGGATGATAAAGAAGAAAGCTTTGTTGTTTTGGGGCAATAATAGAATATATTTATCTAAAAGAAATTAATATTCATAATGATATATGGTTCAATTGATTTTTTGTGGTTAATTTCTCTAATCTCCCTGATAGATAATCATATTACACTTACTTCCCTTACGTTTTCTGAAATTACACCTGTCTCTCTTGTTCTTAGAAATTAATTAGATGTTAATCCCATTATGATGTTTTAAAGTTTACTTGCCTCCCATGTTGTTAGACATTGCATTACATAAACTTCTAAAATATAGCTCCATAAATAGGAGAAAAATGTAATTTTCAGAAAACATAGGGATGGTATGTGTAATTTTGACTACCTATAGCGGCAGCAAATGTACCTAACGCTATTTTTAAATATCAAAATTCATAGTTGAGTTAAGAATTTGTAGAAATGTAATCATCAAGCAGGACCATTGAACTATCTATTATACTTGAGTGTGCTAAATTTAATTGCCTTGAACATATTATACAAAAATGATGGCTTATAAATCAGCATAATTTTTAGAGTTAAGTTGGGTGGTTAAAATAAAAGTGTTTCGTGAGTATTAGGTATGCCAATGAACTAGGTGGCTTAGAAACTTATAAGACTCTTTAAAGTCTTCTTGTACTAAAATAAATAGCATTATCTTAGAAGTGTTCACCCATATGACTTATGCATTTTGAAATACACTTGACATCTTATAATCCAAGTCTCAAATTTGATAACACTATCCTCAACAATTATTGTAACTTTTTTTATGAATTTGTAACACTATGTATGCAAGAGTTATTACTTGTGTTCAAACACAAGGTGGTTTGACCTAACATTTTCCTATTTCGTTGGATTACATCAAGGATCAGCCTTAAGCCTATATCTTTTAGCTTTAGTCATGGATGTTCTCCCTAGACATTTGCATGAGTTTGTAACCTGATGTATGCTTTTTGTTGATGATATTCTTCTTATTGATAAGACTGGAGAGGGAGTTGAAGGTAAACTTGAATTATGGAGTTCAACCTTAGAGTCTAAAGGTTTTCGTTTGAGTAGATCTAAAACTGAATATATGAAGTGTAATTTTAGTAATAATAGATCTAGTGGGGGATTGTGATTTTGGGCGATCAAGTCATTAATAAGAGTACACATTTTATATATCTTGGGTCTTTTGTTCAGAGTGATGGTGAAATAGATGTGGATGTTATTAGTAGAATTCAAGTTGGATCGTTGAAGTGGAGGAATGCATTGGGCTTATTGTGTGATAGGAAAGTCCCCTTCAAACTTAACTGAAAATTCTATCATATGGTGATGAGACCTGCAATGCTTTTTGGTGCAGAATGTTGACCATTAAACAAGAAGCATCATATTAAGATAAGTTTTGCAGAGATGAGGTTGCTCATGTAGATGAGTGGCTTTACTCTTAGTTATAGGATACGAAATGAGCTTATACGTGAAAAGGTTGGAGTAGCTCTAGTAGAAGATAAGATTGGAGGGAGTTGCCTAAGATGGTTTGGTCACATAAAACGGCGGCCTTCCAATGACCTGGTTAAGAAAGTAGATGTATTAGATTTGGCTTATGTTAAGAAAGGTAGAGGTAGACCTAAAAAGATGGGTATATAATATTAGAAATGACATTTCTTTATTAGATTTAAATGAAAATTTGACTCTTGATAGGACACAATGGATAAAATGGATTCATGTAGCGGACCACACGTTGTGGGATAAAGTCTTGGTGTTGTTGTTGTTGTGGTTGAGCCATTGTTTATAATTCGGAAGTTATTTGTACTTGTTTGATTGCAGATTTTTTTCATCTGTAAAAAGCCAAAATGTTTGAAGTGTCTAGAAATAAAAATAAATTTTGAGATTGGATAAACATTGTATCAATGCATACTTTTTGTCAATCATATATCAATAAATTAACTTGATGAAAACACCTCAAGAGCATCTAAATGAGACTCAGTTTCCCTTCTAACTATTGTCTAATTTCAATCTACCATGCCTCACCTAACCAAGAAACACCTAGAGATGATGGACCCAAAAATAATCGTAAAATTTCCCTTAGCTCACAGTTCGATCGCTAAATATAGAACTTTAATTTTCATATAGAAATTCAGATTTATTGTTTCAAATTAAAATTATCGTGTAAAATTTTTTAAAGGTGATTATCTAATCGTAAAAAAAGATGTTTTCATTGCTCATTCACTTAAACAAATATAGCACATCTTCACATGAAAGGTCTATTTTGTTAAGTAAAAAAAAATCATCATAAATTCATTAGAAATTGAAGGATGGAGAGGTAAATGAAAATGGCCTGGCCTGAGGAAAGAGTTGCCTTATTAATTTCTCCTGTGTCTTTTTGCAGTCAGCCTTTACCTCCATTTGGCGTGGCGATCTCTTGCCTATCATCCTTATGCATGTAGAGTCCGACTACTCCGTAGCCTCTACCTCCATTTGCAAGATTTATTTAGATGATCACAAACCTATCCTCTAACAGAGTTCATCTCCTCGTGCATATTTCACCTATTTTTTTTGCCCGGTGAAGGGTTTCAGGGAATGAAGGTTTTAATGCTTGCATAACTGCAGTAAAGTATCAGAGACCTTACGGCCATTTCCACTCCTTTATTGAGTGTTATGAAAGTGAAAATCCAAAATATGATCTATTGCTGATTCCTCCATCCACAACAGAGACTTTTTGTTTTTGGATGCGATAGCCACATGAACCAAATGAATATAAACGGCTTGTTCTTGGTTTCCTAGAATGCAGCATACACCAAAATCTAAATCTAAATGAAACCCAAGTGACTAGCAATGAAGCTTCGATTGAAAGTGTTACATTAGAGAGATACAATGGAGAGAAAAAAATACACCTAAGAAATGTCAAATAAATTAGCACCTCATGTGACAATCGATGAAAATGAATTGAGGATTTATACAACCAACCCCAAATAGTTGGACTAACATTTGTGATGATGAGAATAAGGATCTTTCTGTTGATGGCTGTTTGAAAGAGTTGGTGCAGTTGCGCTATGTACTGGATGCTTCGTTTTGCTTTAAAAAGTGTTTTTTTTTTTTTAAAAAAAAATTTGATCTTATTTGCCAGCCACTGTTAAAATAACATGATTAACTTTACCGTCTACTTTAGGTGCTTGGAACTGAAGAATTGAGTTCTTATCTTAACAAATATCGTCTGGAGCTTGACCCACAGCTTTCAGCACTTGTTGGAAGGTTTTGATATTTCCTTCAATAATTTCCATCACTTTCTTGCATCCAACATTATATTTTTCCACTTTCTGTAACAGACATAGCAGAAAGCCATGGGCAAGGTTTATTAATGATGATAACCAGAATGTTGCCGTCCCTGAGGTGATCCTTTTTTAAACGTTAGTACTACATGTAGATTTGTGAATAATTAAAACTAATCTTCCTCGGTTTTATTCCGAGCACATTTGGTAGGCTGTTGACTTCTTGGACAAATTGCTCCGCTATGATCACCAGGAGAGACTAACTGCTAAAGAAGCAATGGTACTTCAAAATAACAGTGTTTGTTTATTCTTATTTTTGTCTCTTTATCCATACAATTGCTCGTGTATTTTCCAGGCTCATCCTTATTTCAATCCAATGAAGAGTGCTGAAAGCAGCAGGAATAGAGCTTAGTTGCTCAAATTCATTTATTGTTGACTGCGTGCATTGTTGCGAGGACTATATCTTCCCATCCCTGCATCATTCGTGGTTTAGTCTCCCTATCCGCTTTCTCATCTAAATATAATATATCTATATGGTGGGTCAGGTTCATCATTTTCTTTCCTCATTGAATTAGATGGATATCTGGGATGGGCTATGTTTGTGTTAGTCTTGAGGTCTATTACATAAGGAACAATATCTTAAACCTTTTATCTTTTCTTTTCCTGCAAGTTTCGAAAAGGCTTGTTTAGTTTGATTTGAAGCTATACTTTATGAAGGTTAAAAATGCTTTAAACAGATTTTATAGGAGGAGAAGTAGCACTCCTCAGTCTTCTAATTTACGATTTTATTTTCGGTCGTATGAGTTGTTTTTTTTAAGTGGATTCTTATTGAGTAAAAGCTAAATTTTCTTGGTGAAAGTGCTTTTGGGGATAATTTGAAAGAATTATTTTAGAAGATGATGTTTTTTTTTTCCATTGCAGTAAGTTTTAAATGAGATTTTGAGCATATACGCGAAAAGGTTGGAGTAGCTCCAGTGGAGGATAAGATTAAGAGAGAGTCGCCTTAGATGGTTTGGTCACATTAAACGGATGTCTTCCGATTAGGAAAATTGAGGTATTAGATTTGACTTATGTTAAGATAGGTAGAGGTAGACCTAAAAAGATTTGGTTAGAAAATAGTATAAATGGTCTTTCTTGATTAGATTTAAATGAGATTTTGACTTTTAACAAAACACAATAGCGAAAAAGGATGTAGCCGACCCCACGTAGTGGGACTAAGTCTTGTTGTTGTTGTTGTAGTAAATTTTATTTTTATGGTAGTAGAGATTGTATTCAAAAGCTTACAAAACCATGCATGATTGATGCTTTTTAATCTTTGGCGGTCTAAATAATTTGAAGTGATGAGGAAAATGATGCTGATGTTTCCATGTGCATCCTTTCTTAATCATTTTGCCATTTTTTTCTAAAGTTCATTGGCTTAAAGGATTACTGAATTCGTTTATTAATGATTAGCCGTGGAAACGTGATTCATAAAATTCTAATGAAACCATTCATGGTTATCTTCACCAATTATCTGTTTACGAATACTTCATCTTCCCCATTTTCTGCATGTTGCTGTACCTAATATGGGATTAAAGTATGTGCAACTGGGTTATTAGCTTATTATTGTGAGGTAATTAGGTGGATATAATAAGCAGATGCGATTAAGATTTCTTCTGTTTCTAGAAAAAAAAAGTCTTTTTGTGCTGCAGTTAGGTAGGTGCTTTGGCAGAACCATTGTGACGCTGCCTAAACGAATTGTTTTTTCTTCCAGACCCTTTTTCTGACTTGTAAGGTATGCCCCATACAAATTGGTCTTCTTTTGTCTTTAACGGCATTGATTATAATGCTAACTTATAATGATAAACTATTGTTATGTTTAGTGATTTTTTCTTTTCCTTAATGTTCTGCTTTAAAGATTTTAGAGTTTATAAACTAAAATAACTAATGATCCTACGTTCCCATTTCTTGGCATCTTTTGTTTTCATCTATTTAGCTATAGGGATAATTGATATCTAGTTAACTTGATCTAAAGATGATATCAATATTTGATTGCTTAGGATGATGCCAATAGAGGCGTAAATGAGTCAAGCTAAGCTCTTAGCCTGAGAAAGTTTGGAAAAAATTATTATATGCTGATTTCGGACGCTATTCGGAGACCAATTAGAATGCACTATGTAATTTTTGTCTAGGTATCAGGACTGGGTACCGTTGTGTATCGGGTGACGTTACGCGTTTTGGTTGGCCTCCGAACTGTCCGGTATTGGCACATAATAATTTTTCATAGTTTGAACAAGCTTAGGAGCTAAGAAATTTCACTTGATATGATGAAATAAGGAAAAAAGCAAGTATTAACCAACAGAAAATATTCTAATATATCTAATTAGTGTATTCAATAATACGAAATGAAAGGTTCATCTTGGTCGATAGACATAATAATTAGATTAAATTCAGTTTCCATTGAGCCGCCATCAGCACCATTGAGCTGTTCTCTCTTCTTCCATCCCTTCGCTGTTTCACAGCGACATAATGCTTCATCCATCACCTCAGCACTGCATCCTGTCCGGTCCAGTACCTAATAAATTACTTATGAACTCAAAAAGTATCACTTTAATAAAGCTATACTCCAAGCAAAGCTTTATTTAAGATATTTTTTTTTATTCAATTCTCATTAGTCAGATCAGTATTGTATGAATATAATGTTTTAAATTTTATATAAATCTAATAAATAGTAATTACTGAAAAGAGCTGTTAGTCTGGAGTCACAAATTATAGTGAATAAAATTTTTTGAGAAGTGTATATTTGCAATTAAATTTTCAGACTCTTTTCATAAAGAAATATTGCACTCCCTAAATTGAATCACAAAAACTTTAAAATTTTTTGAGTTTTTTGCGAATTGTTACGTTGAATGTGCGATGCTTATAAGGTAACTATGTACGTAAATTTATATGAATATTTCATTTCAAGAAAAAAATTAAATTATTATTATTATTTTAAATATCCTTCACATACCAGTCATTTTAAATTTTGTAAAATAGTCCGTCAATTCAAAAGAGTTTTTATTGAATATCTCATTAAATTATTTTTTTTATACAACCTTAAGTGCGATTATTTATCTATGGATTTCTTGAAATTACTTGTTTGTAATGATTATAGTATTAACATAACCTAGAAATTTGCTCCAACTTTGCTTGGTTTTTACTTAGACAACTCTAATTCAATTCATCTCATTTAATAAGCTCAACTTGACCTAGCATTGCATATTGAAGGTAAAAATTTTTCTTTCATTTAGAATTTAGGTACCCGTTTATGTCTTGAATGTTTGAATTTAACTTTGCATGATAGTTTGGGTGAGAATTAAAAGGAAAACTATGTGCTATGTTTTGATGTTTTAAGTCAAATCTTAAAACATATCCATATACTATTAGTGTATGCATTATGTGACATATTTATGTCAAAGTGTTAAGCTTACACTGATCTAAAGAACTATTTTGTGCTCTAACTTTGACATCATAGCAAGCTTGCTAAACAAAAATAACTCAATACTAGAAATAAGGTAAAAAGAGACACATAAATAGATATTTTCTTCTCCTTTTGCTTAAATATTAGGGTTCTATATAAGAAAGTGAGAATTTTAACTCATATAGAAAGAAGATAAAGGTTGGCATATAGCAAAAACAGGTTCCTCTCCTCTACATTACTGTATGTAGTATGATTTCATGTATATCAACAGTTATTATTATTATTCATTTTAATTTGAGAACACTATGCTTTGTTTTGTTTGCTGTGTTCACTGAATCCATCACACTCATACAAAATGTCAAAACCAAAAACAGAAAAAAAGAGAAAACAAGAAGGTTTTAATGATGGCATGGAAGATTGCATTATGCTTAAAAGATCTGTGAAGATTGATATTTCCCTTTCGGGAATGATAGACATAATTCAGTGCTTGATGCATGGGTGCTTATAGGGATTAAAAAAATAATGGAATGTCTTTAGGAATATTTTCCTTTCTTTTCAAGGTATATTTCCTTTCTTAGATGCATGAACTTTGCTTGTTGAAACAAGTTAATTAAAATAAAATAAAATAAAAAAGAGTGGGGGACTGTCAGTGGTCTGAAGAAAATTTGGTCCTGAAATTATGAGAAATTTTTTTTTTTTTGCTGGTTATAAGTGGGAAAAAAAAGTAAAAAGAAATATTTAAGAGTCATCCTTAGGAAAGTTTTTCACAGTAGGAGATGTTTCTTCAGGAGTTTCAACCAATATGTAAGCATTTTGAAAGATAAGTTTGTAAATGTTGGGAGGGAGTAAATCACACATCGAAACAAATAAGAAAAAAAGAGCAAAATGAACATCAGGATTTAGCTTGAAAAAATAAGAAATATGCAAAAAACACAAAGTCACAGAGCAAAATGAACACCAGTATTTAGCTTGAAAAAATAAGAAATATGCAAAAAACACAAAGTCACAGAGCAAAATGAACACCAGGATTTAGCTTGAAAAAATAAGAAATATGCAAAAAACACAAAGTCACAACATACCTAAAAATTCATTATGAAAATATAAGAAATTATACGAATCTCTCTCTCTAAGTATATTCACTTCACTATTAATTTTTTTTTTGTTTTCAATAGAATAGACAAAGATGTGCACTTAAATTACACCAATAGGCACAACCCTTCAAGTTAAACATGAAAAACAAGAAAAAAAAAATTATAGATCTCGACTCGTAGCACTACGGTGCTAAGATCTTGAGTGCTGAAGCACTTTTCTCAAACTTGACTTACAGTACTTCGACGCTAGCTTTGGATCGTTGTTAAGCTCCGATCTCTATCTGTCAAGAATACAACAACACAGATCTGCATTCCATGCCGCTATAGTGCACAAGTGTACAACACTGCAAATCCCTAATGTACAGTGTCACGGCACTGTATGGCTGTACAAAAAAATTTTCATCAAGGCTAAGGCCTTTGAACCCAAGCAAGGGAATGTCCCTTGACGAGCTCAACAGATTGAATTGAGGTCAGAGTCAGCAATACAAATCAATTGATCGACACAATCAAATTCCACACAAAACTGACATCTAACAAAATCCATATACAATCATATTTATTATTGCATAATAAAAACAAAAAATATATATATTGCAAGATGTCTTTAAGTGTCTTTATTGATGCATGAATTTTGTATGAAAATATTAGTAATAAAAAGAAAAAAAAAAGGCACAATTAAAATCATCCCTTTATTATATTGTTTGATAACCACTACTAATTGTAGATTTTAGCAGTGGTTTAAGTTAAATGAATATTTAATTCTACATACTGCCATAACATGACATGAACAATAGAGAGATGTGTGCTGATCACATAACTAGAGAACAGATACTTCCTTGAGGCCCTTCACCGAGTTCCTGGTCACCATATGATGAACAAAACTTATGAAAAATTCTCAAGAATTTTATATCATATTGTTTATCAAAATAATTTAGTTAAAAGAAACATACATTTTCCTCAACAAACTGACCCAAATATCACAGAAACCTTGCTTCGATATATCGATAATTTTTTTGAATTAAAAAATTACACCCATCTAATTTTTTAAAGGTCTGTTTGAAACAGTCTTAGCTTTTCACGAAGCTGTTATGAAAAAATAACGCTTTTTAGAACCATTGTAAAAGTACTATTCTAACTAAGACAGAAATTTATTGAAAACTGTAAAAAAATTATAGTCAAATAAAAATTATAGTTACAATACAAAACTAATAATAAGAAAATTATCATAAACAGATTCTTAGACTTCATCTAAGATATTTTTTTATTTCTTTTTAAAAGAAATTT